CCCCAAAACCCCAAAACCCCAAAACCCCAAAACCCCAAAACCCCAAAACCCCAATAATAACATCTCAAACTGATAAGGATAAAAAATTAATACCTTCCTATTAATTACCAATATGGATCCCAAACCTTATGTGAACCACCAAAAATGAAGTAAACTTTATGCTAAAGCAAAACTCTAACAGTTTTAGCCTCAAAACTTGAAGAAATGTTCCACCCAGATGAAGCGGAGGTATGCCCTTTCAAATGAAACTATTTAGCAAGAATATCTTAAATTAAATGATATTTCCCAAGAAAGAGAAATTGAGGATTTTATGAATGACTCAATAAAGCAAAGTCTTCAGAAAGCATACTCCAGATACATCAGAATAGGCTGTCTTGGAAAAATGTTCGTTTGATTTATTTGAGGGCTCACAAGCTACCTGAGTAAGTTAAGTTTTTATGCTCTAGCCATTAATGAAGAAAACGTAAAAAATAATACCCACTTGTGATATGCATGATCCACTTTTCTGGTTCTTGCTTTTATTGTAATGATCGTATGCAAGCACAGAGCATTTTATTTAGTTCACTTTGTTCCCATACTCTTGAGCCTAGGAATTGTGATGTCTATTAATATTGCGTTGCAAAGTGACGAGTATAGACCTAGTGAATATATGATTGTAACTTGCTGAGTTGCCCATGCTCAAATGATTCTGATCCCCAATAAATGGATGTATTCATCCATTGCTTATGCAATGGCAATGATATATTTTGGATATGGAGTTTGGGTAACTTATGGTCTTACATCCTCAGATATTATTCTGTGAATTATGCTCTGAGTATTCTGGTTTACTATATCGTGTTATTTCCTATCTCTAAAGACCAAAAACCTATACTCTGAAATTCTTAGAAATAAAAAACTTATTGAAGAGATGAGAAAGATTCTTCAGATACTCCCATTAGGTGTAGTGATTTGGCCTTCCAAAGCAGGTGAACAACACTTTGTAAACCACGAATTTTCAAATAAATTTACTGAAATCGACAAGAGTCTTGAAGAACTGGCTGCTATTGACTTGGAACTAGTTGACCACAACAACAAGGTCATAAAGCAAGAGTTTAGAAACGATTTGTCAAAGTTTTTGAAAGCACAGCAGAGACTTGTGAAGAATAAACATTGCATTGTTGAGCAAAATGCTGAGGTCAAATGCTACCTTAAAGAAGCAGATATTATGGCTGAAGGTAACGAAGACTCTCTAGATAATAAAATTTGAAACATAAAAACTCTTGCTATTGATTGGGAAGGCGTCCAGTCATATATGCATGTTTTTATTGACAACACGAGCGTTATCAAACTTGAAGAAATTAAGAATCAGTTAAAACTGGATGAAGCTAACAATAGTCTGAAGATGCAGAAGATCATGTTTGCAAGCGCATCTCATGAGTTTAGGACACCTCTGAATGCCATAATAAACTCGTTTGACATTGCAATGAACTCTTTTATCACTGTTAACAATATTTTCAAACCTTCTTATAATGGATTGGATGACAACAAAAGGGAAGAAGTCGAACTAAATGTTCAAACTTTGGCAAAATTTGTTAATATAGGGAAAAGTTCATCAGTTCTTCTAATGACGCTAATAGAAGATATCCTGAGCTTATCTAAAATGGAGGCTGGAACTTTTTTTATAACCAAGGAAAATTTTAACCTCCCTGAAGTTTTGGTAGAAATTCAGGACATCTTCAGTATGCAATGCGAGCAAAAGAAAATTAAGTTTATTTTAAATCTATCCCCAAAAGTTAGGAACTTGGTAATGTATTCAGACAAAGGCAGGCTCAAGCAAATAATAATGAACCTGGTGTCTAACTCCATGAAGTTCACTTTTGCTGGCTCTATCACTATTGAATGTAAACTCCTCAGACAGGACAGAAGAGAGTTTGCTCAATTTTGTGTCATAGATACTGGGGTTGGCATCAAGAAGAAGGATCAGAGCAAACTGTTCAAACTCTTTGGCATGATCTCGAAGACCAAATCTATGAACAAAAACGGTACTGGAATCGGATTGACTGTTAGCAAAAAATATGTAGAAGCTCTCGGTGGAGACATTAGTTTGGAATCAGCTCCAGGAGTCGGAACTAGCATCACATTTAAAATCCCAATAAGCGAAGAGCCAGAGAAAGAACATTTGTTGAAGTCTGATAGATCGGTTTGGTAAGATAGAAAATCTTCGATGTTTTATATTATCTTGCTATTTGAAAGTTTCATTACTAAAAACCATAATTTATAATCATATTTAGAAGCTATTTCGAGAGCGAATTTGAGGTTTGTGATGAAGGCCATCACAATCAGAATCTTTCCTTCAACACTGATATGTGTTCAAAAGGAAAGTTCAAGAATCTTTAAATTGTAGTTTCTTCTCAATGATAACCTAAGTTAAAAATAAAGTGTCATGATGGCTGAATATTTATAATTTTCTGAGATTGATATTATATTTCAAGTCTTCTTCACATTTCAGGGGTTTTGGGGTTTTGGGGTTTTGGGGTTTTGGGG